AATCTCAATCTCTCTCTCTCTCTCTCTCTCTCTCTCTCTCTCTCTCTCTCTCTCCTTCCCTCCCTCCCTCTCCCCCTATAGAGTATTGCTATGTAGTCAGGCTAGCATTGAAATTGTTATCTGTGCCTGCCTAGCATGTACAAGGCCCTCAGTTCAATCCCTGGTATCACAGAAGGAAGGAAGGAAGGAAGGAAGGAAGGAAGGAAGGAAGGAAGGAAGGAAGGAAGGAAGGAGAGAAAGAAAACAGAGAGACAGAAAGAAAGAAACTGTTAACTTCTTGCCTCAGCCTCCTGAAGGCTTTTCTTTTTATCTACTGCCTCCAGTATTTTGGTAATGTGAAGTTAATGCAGGTGCATGGTTGGAATTTGAATTTGATGTTATATCCTCCTTAATGGACTCACTTAATAGTCCTGGTAGTTCTTCTTTCAGTATATTCCACTGCATTTTCTACATAGACAATCATATTGGCTATAAAAAGTGTGTTACTTCTTCCTTTTCAAGCTGGATGTCTTTTACTTTTCTTGCCTTTCTGCACTTGTGAGAACATTGAGTTTGATACTGAATGGAAGTAGGAAGGAACATACTTATCTTACTCCTTGGGAAGAAAGCGTTCAGTCTTTCACCACTGAATATGTCATTAGCTGTGTGTGTGTGTGTGTGTGTGATGCCCCTATATTAGGTTGAAAACTTCTATTTTTAGTTTCCTATAAGTTTTTTAAAAATTAAGAATAGATGTTGGATTTCATCAGCTACTCTTTCTGCATTTATTGCAATGATCATATATGAGTTTTCTTTTTGGTCTGTTAATATAGTAAATTATACTGATTGATTTTCTAAAGCTAAACTCATTGTGAATTCCTGGGATAAACACACTTGGTCATGATATGTTATCCTTTGAATACATTATTGGAGTGTAGAATTTTGATATCTCTTGAACTTTTACTTTTGACCTTACTGTTCCCTCAAATTTGCCTCCTCATTAAGCATTTATTTTCACTTATGACCAATGCTCCTGCTCATATCTTCTAGACTGTGTCTGGGGTAGTTACTGAGGCGAAGGCTTACTCTAAAGTTGGGACAGCCCATGAGAATTTAGAACAAATACTTGAAAGTATTTTTATGGGGTCAGTCCTAGCCCTGAGAATGTGAATTAACTCCTGACAGCAGCCTTGCCTCATTAACACGTGTGTCTCCAGCTTGAAGAGTCATAGTATATGACAGGTTGGTTGCTAAGAAAAAACATTATTAAATGCTTAGGAGATCCCTCTCCCTCTGTCACTGCTCCTTGACTTGATATTGCTCTGTTTCAATGAGGAAATAGCCAACAAAGGTTACCTCCAGAGGACTGACCTTTAAATGATGCTTCCCATTTTCTCACTGAATTCTGTCCCATTCTGATTATCTAATTAGGCTGATATCCCACACCCTAAGGTGCCCAAATAACCACTTTAAATTCTTGACCTTGTATTTTTGTGGATGGCTTTTGTTTCCAAATACTGGGGGGAACATACAAACCAGATATACTGTTTTCCGCACTGCATTACAAAAGTGATTCTCTCATTAATCTCTTTGACACAAAAGTAATAATGGTATTACCTGCAAATATATGTTCAGTACATACTATACACCAGGCACTAAACACTTTATATATATGACTTTATTTAATAATTTCAGTAACTCTACAAAATAAGCACTATCATTATACCCATTTTTACTGAAGAAGAACCTAATGTAGATAGAGTGTTTAGTGACTTGCTGAGTTAGGAAATGGCAGATCAGCAGTATGGCTCCAAAGCCCACTGCACTACCATGCTTTTAAGTGACAGAACTGTGGCAATAACTCATGCTTGATGCTAGTAGAGGGATCTTTATTCTTATTATCTATATCAACTTTCTCTTTTGCATTGGTAACTTTGGTCAAATCTGGCATCAGTGAGAGTTTCATTGCAGCTGACACCCAAATATATGTATTTGAAAACAAAAACTATGCAGGAAGAACACTTGAAAAAGAAGACACTTTTATTTAATGTTTTCAGAGTAACAAGGAAAAAAATATTACCTTTATGAAGCAAGATCAGGAAGCCACACAAAGGAACATTCAGAGAACAATAAAAAAGTTCTTAGAGTTGAGCAATAATCAAAGAAGGCTCTTCAAATCAGCTGGAGATAAAAGGGGACCTACAAAAACAATTAGATTAACAGCAGATTTTGCATAGTAATGACAGAAACCAAAAGGTAGTGAGATAATATCACCTACATGTTAAGAAGAAAAAGAGGGAATTTAGAGTTGAGTATTCAAAAAATCTATCTTTTAAGAATGAAGTTTTAAAAGGGCATTTACAGATAAACAAAGACTGAGACAGTTTCCTATTAAGTGATCTGTGCTAAAGGATCTTCTAAGGTATACATTTCCAGAAGAAAACTTATCCCAAAAAAGGGGCATCTGACGTTTAAGAAGGCACATCATGAGAAAATAAAATGATGCATATTTAAAACTAAATGAATACTGTCTGCATAAAATAATAATGTTAATGTTTTTCTGTATGTTAATGTCTTCCTTAAAAAGATAACTAAAATAGTCACAAGAATATGTAAGTTAGGAGACATCAACATTTTATAAAGTCTTCATGTTTGGGTGGTGATTATGATAAAATTTAGCTTTAGATTTTAGGATAAATCTGTATGGTAGATTTTCAAGTTGGAAAACTTCTCTCTGTATTCAAGGGTGAGGGAGACACTATAACTTCTTGAATGACAGGAGTGACCGAAGTCCCCGAAGAAGGCGAAAGGAAACTGGTCACACTCCATTAATTTTCTTCTAGACCAGAAAGCCAGGGAATATCAGAAACTGATATAGACAAATCCATGGATAATCATGTCAGACCAATTTTTCAGTAATGTTCTGTATAATTGCTAGATAAGCATTTCAGGGGAGGCCCTACCAACCCCTCATGTCTGAATTTTGGTATGCATCAAAGTCTCCTACACTGGATGTCATGGGTCCACACCTGTAATTTCAGCAATTTGGAAGGCTGAGGCAGGAAGATCATGAGTTTAAGTCCAGCCTGGGCAACTCAGCAAGATCTTGCATGAATAAATAAATAAATAAATAAATGGCAGGTGTGGTGGTGCATGCCTGTAATCCTAGCACTTGGGAGGCTGAGGCAGGAGGATCACTACAAGATCCAGGCCAGCCTGGACTACATAGTAAATTCAAGGCTAGCCTGGATTACATGGCGAAACCCTGTCTCAAAAAACTAAAAAAAAAAAAATAAAGAAAGAAAAAATCTCCTAGGATGGAAGACTTTAGAATGTCTTATGGAATGACAGGCAAGCTGTGAGTGTAATGAGGCAAGGTGGTCCATACCATGCTATTTCCTATGTTTGAGTCACTGGCTGTGGTGTACCCTTTGCCTGGATTACCCTCCCCTCCCTTGTTAATCAATTGGGTGATTTCTACTCATCTTTTTTTTTATTTTAAAGGGAATGAAACAGAGCCAAATAAAAGTGAGAATAACATTGGATTTCAAAAACAGCACAGAAGGAAATCCCCCATAGTTCCTATATTGCACATTGTCATCCTCTAAATAGATGCTCATCCCTGATTTATGTGCTTTGAAATTTTGTTGTAGTTTTTCCCCTCTTTTTTCTTTCTTTTTATCTTTGAATAAAATGGATTTGAAAAAGAAAGAAAAAGAAAAAAAAACCCAGATGCTTGGCTACTGGTTTTAGGCCTGTAAAGTCAATCAACAATATAAACATTAAGTTGTTTTATTTTAGTAGCTGTCATTTCAGCCTCTGTTCCTCTTAATCAATCAGTTGCTCATGGGGCTAGGGTGTGGGGAATGGGCTCTTCTTGTCCCCTAGCTCACATGCCAGCTGGCTAACAGGAAGAGACTGGCTTCTTGGTTCTCCTCCTGGCCCACCTGGCTGCCACTGTCTCACAGGAGAGGGTTTGCTTCTTGGTTCTCCCCCGACCCATCTTACGCATCTTTTAAGACTTAGTTCATATGCCATCTCTTCCAAGAATATCTCCTGTCCTCCTGAGCTGGCTGGGTAGTCGTTAGGGGCTCTCACAGCTTACTACAACCACCACTGTTACTACATGGACCTCACTGCCCTGAAACTATGTGGCTGTGTCTGGGAACACCCCTGAATACATCTATGTCTATTAAGTGTGTAGCAGAAGGCCAAAAATACAGCAAGTGGTCAAACTCTGCTCAACTGAGCTTATAACTAGTTGGATGGTTATACCCAGTGAGGTGGTGATTAATCAACTAATGTTGGTCTGAACAGGGAAGTCTCTTGTGCATGCCACAAGGCTCTGTGTATATGAATGGCACTCCGATGAAATTGTGAGTGGCAAAAAAATAGGTCATATTTTAGACAACAGAATCACTATACAAAATCACACAATAGCATAACACTGGAGCCAGGTTAGTTCCCAAGTCAGTGAGGGACAAAGTCGGACTAAATCCCACAGCAAAGTCAGGTCTAAAATCCCATTCTGACAATGGAGAAAAGTCCTTCTGATCTGAAACTTATCTTCCTGTGGTCTTCATCCATACATTATACCAACTTTACACTATCCCCTCCCCTCAAGTACACAGATAAAAGTCTAATGGGAGCTATCTGCTTGGCCCAGGGGCCAGGAAACAGTTCCTCACAGGCCAAGAGAAAGGAAGATGCTAGCTGGCATTCTAGTGACAAGTGGGCCTTGCTTTTCACCAAGAAACAAGCTGTCAAGACAACAAGCCCATTTTCATAAGTCTAAGAGTATAGAGAACATAGGGCTTTGTCACTATTTTACCAACTGAGAACTTGCTTTACCAGTGAACTCAGGAGCTGTCCTCCCTGCTTCTTTTCAGCCACCACCCTTTTGCACAATGGCATCCACGATCCTTAGCATAGCATTAGAATCCTCCAGCCTATCCCACTTTTCAAGGCATTTCTCTCTTTATCTTTCACATTACTTGATTGTTATTAATGCAATCATTCAGTTTATTCCACAAATATTTATTGAATTGCTATGTATGTTTTTAGCACTAGGGGTACAGAAATGAAAAAAACAAATCCTTGCTTTGTGAAGCATACAGTCTATTGGGGAGAGACAAACACTAACCACAATAAATAAGTAAATAAACAAAATATTAGGTGGTGATCAGAGCTTTGTAGAAAGGTATCACATATATAGCAGGATAAGGAGATGGAAAATGGAGGTGAAGGGGGCTATTTTATATATGTTGATCAGGGACGTGACATTCAAAATAATGGAAATACTTGGGCAAGTCATCAGCAGGAAAAATAGCAAGTACAAAAACCTTGAAGAGGAAGGATACTGGCATGCTTGAGGACAGGAAGGAGGCCTGCTAGCTGGAAAACAGTGAGAGATAGGGAAAGTGAGAGGAGAGGAGGTCAGAAATGTAAAGGGAACCATATTATGAAGGAACATTTGGGCTATGGTGAAGGTTCTGGCTTTTGTTCTGAGGGAGCTTGAAGCTGTGGGAAAATTTTGAAGAAGAGGGACATGATCTGATTTAGATTTTTTTTTTGGTACTGGGGATCGAACTCATGCACTTAACCAGGTAAGCACTTGAGCCACTGAGCTAAATCCCCAGCCCTTGATTTAGATTTTAAAAAGAATTTCAGAGAAGAATTAGTAATAAGTATTATACAGCACTAGGCAAAAGAAAACAAAACAATGACCAGATCCTAGGAAAACAAAAAAGTATATGCAATGAAGAATATGCACTCAGAGTATATTTTGTGGCCTAGATGTGAACAATATTTACAGTGTCATACAATCAGTAATTACTAGTTGAACAAAAATTATATAAAATATTTAAAGAAGTAACAGATAAAATCACAAAGAATACGAAACAACAGGACACTGTCACAGCTAAGCACATTATAAAGTAAAATATATGGAGCGTGTACAAATGAAAGTGTAATATTTGAAAAAAAACTTCAATGAAAAGATTAAACAGATTATACATAGGTGAAGAGAAAATTGGTAAACTGAACAAAATATCAGAAGGAATTGCCCAAAATGAACTATGAAACAGAAAATATCAAAGAGATGTTATGACATATAAAAGATAGAATGAATAAGTACAAAATACCACTAATTGGATTCTGAGAAAGAAAAAATAGAATAAAAGAGAGGCTATATTTAAGGAGAAAATTATAAATTTAAAAAATTAATTTACTGAGCCATAAACACACTTCCAAAATTAGAATAAGTAAAAAAGAAATACATGCCTAACATGTAAGAAACCAGAAGACTCCCTGCGCATTCCACTCAAACAAGAACAAGAGCAGAACAACAACAGTAATATGACTCATAGTACACTTCTAAATGGCAATAGACTTCCCAAAGCCAAAACAGAATGGGATCATACATTCTAATGCTAAGTGAAAATACGTATAAAACACTATCTTTTAAGGAGGATAAAATAAAGACATTTACATATAACATAGACTTAGAGAATTTAACATCAAGAGACCTATACAAAAAGAACATTTAAACACTGTATTCATAATGAAAGAAATAATCCTAAAGGATGATCTGAGATCCAAGAATGTGTGAGTGTAAAGTCAAACAAATCCTGCCTATATAAAATAGTATTGATGATTATGTATAAGTATGAGGTTAGGAAAAAAGGGGGGAAAAAACTAACGTACTTGAAACAGAATGTGGTTAAGAAAAAAATGACTAAAGTTGAAGATTTCCAGGCTTCCTACATTCTTCAAGAGGGGGTTAACTATTATTTAAACTTCTAAGTTAAGTACAAGGTAAAAATTTAAGAACCTCAAAAAGAATAAAAACAAAATGTAAACAGTAGCTAGGAAAAAAGAGTAAGAAAACAAAGCTGGGTGGGGTAGCACAAACCTGTAATCCTAATGCTGTGGGAGGCTAAGGCTGGAGAACTACAAGTTCCAGCCCATCCTCTGCTGTTTAGGGGCTTAGCAAGACTCTGTCTCAAAAAAAATTTAATAAGGGGTGGGGATGTTGCTGAATAAGAAGGCTCTGTGTTCAATCACTAGTACTGAGAGAGGGAGGGAGGGAGGGAAGAAGGGAGAGGGAGGGAGAGAGGGAGGGAGAAAGGAGGGAGGGAGAGAGAGAGAGAGAACAAAAATCTTAAAACTAGGGGCTGAGGATTTAGCTCAGCGGCATAAGCGCCTGCCTTGTAAGGCAGTCGTGAGTTTGATCCCTGGTACCGATAAAAACCGAAAAAGACAAAAAAAAAAAAAAATCTTAAAACTAAAAAATAAGAAAAAATAAGGAATGCAAAAGTTGGTGGTTAACAACTGAAATAAAGTGTGATGGTAAAAACAAGACTAAAATTTCAGTAAATATAAACAGACTAAACTTTAAAATTAAAAGACAGAGGTTAACAGATTGTATATCTTAAAGATCCAGCTATATGCCACAGCATTTTGAAAAAAATAAAATAATTAAAGAATGTAGTTTTTACAGGTACAGATTTCCTATGATGACTATGATCAGTATGTATGATAAGTAGGTACTAATAAAATAATAAAGTTTTAAAAAAGAATAAAGACATGTAAACTCTAAAACGTAAAAGAATGTAAAATTATATACCATACAAATCCTAACAACAAGCTTGTTCTTCTACATTAATGGAGGAAAAGAGTATTATTGGGAATAGAGGAGTATTACATATTTACCAGGAATATGTAACAGTATTCACTTGAATATTCCTAATATCCTCACAATATATAAAGCAAAAATGACAGAACTACAAAGAGAAACTGATAAATCCACCATCATAGTTGAATACATTTTAAAGTTACTGGTAGATCACAACCAAAGAACCACATTAGATAAATATACATTTGGACACAGTTAATATATAAGGCAAAAAATTGATAAAACTACAAAGAGAATTGGTAAATCCATCATCATAATGATTACCATATCTTTAAAATTACTGGTAGATCATGACCAAAGAAACATTCAGATAAGTAAAATTGAACACAGCTAACAAACTTGATAATAGATATATATAGAACTTTGTATTCAACAATTAGAGAACATACATCCTCATAAAGCACATAGGAAACATTCAAAAATAGTGATCATGTACTAAGTGATAAGACAAGTCTCAATAATTTTCAAAGACTCGTTATCACATGAATCATATTATCTGATCATAATGCAAATAAGACAGATCTCAATAACAAAGGGACAACATTTAAAATCCCTAAACATTTGGAAATTTAAAAGCACACTTTGATATAACTCACAGGTCAAAGAAGTAACTATAATGGAAATGCTGACATACTTAGAACTAAACAGTAATGAAAACACTACTTATCTGAACTAGTCTAAAAGCAGCATTTAGTGGGAAACTTACATCCTTAAATGCATAAATTAGAAAACAAAAAAATTAAAAATTAATGAGCTCGTTTCCAATTTAAGAAATCAGAAAAAGAACAATAGAATAAAGCCAAAAAATGTGGAAGGAAGGAGATCAAAAAAGATAAGAGCAGAAATTAAAGAAATAGAAAACAAAGACACAATAGAAAGGAGCAACAAAGCCAAAAGTTGGTTCTTTGAAAAGACTAGTAAAATAGACAAACCTCTGGTAAGATTAATCAAGAAAAAAAGTGAGAAGGCACACATAACCAATATTAGCAATGAAAAAGGAGACATCACTACAGATTTTATATAGCAGAGAATAAATAAAGGAACTTTATGTCAGTGATTTTAAAAACATGCACAAAATAGACCAATTCTGCACCAGGGATATAGCTCAGTGGTGCAGCACCTGCCTGGCAAGCAAGAAGTCCTGAGTTCAATTCCCAGTACCCACCAAAAAAAAAAGTTTTGTTACAAAATGGACCAATTCCAAGGAAATGATATCTTGCCAAAATTGACTCAAGAAGAAAAAGAAACCTTTAGTAGTCCCTTTGAGGAATTGAGTCAATAGTTAAATTCCGTGCACTAAAAGAACAAAGAGATAAGCAAAAAATAGCAAGAAGTTTTCCAGTTAGTATGTGAGTTACAAGTTAGTGAAGAGATACGGATCCCCTCACTCTGGGGTGTCCAAGTAGGATCTGAGGACACTGTAGTTAACCTCTTCTGGAAATCCTTAGAGGGTGGCCATTAGTGAAGTGGGAGTGACAAATTTCTTACAGTTGTTGCAGGTGGTAAGCACAAATGAATAATACCCAACATTCACTTATTGCTCTGTGATAAATGTGCTAGGCAGGGCCAAGGAGGTGCTCTACTGCTTGGAAAGCCTCTTCAGTAGCCAGCTTCTGTAATTTGCTCATTGAGGATAAGGGAACTGTGGAGCTGCTGGAAGAGTCTGTGTTCCAGTTTCTATCCACAGCCCAAGTTGTGACTGGTTGGGATGGGGTTGGGTGCGGGGAGGTCAACCAAGGTAGAGTGTAGCTCCAAGTAGAAGCCTGAAACTGTCTTCACCAGTGTCAGATACTTGTATCCATTTGTAGCTGATGAGCCCTTTTAATGATGTCCAAGCTAGCTGCAGGTTGATGGTTCTAATAATGATGCATGTTCTGCGAATAAGAGCTTCATCATTATTTTGAAATAGTCAGTGAAATTGGATTTGAAATCTATTCACATTATCATAAAAATTTTTAACAATTCATGTCAGTGAAACAAAAATAAAAACTTTTATTCATAATTTCAATTATTAAACATTTTTGAACAATGTAAAAATTAGTTTTAAATATCCTACTACCTACTTTCATAGAGAAAGTAATTTTTGTTGGAGGTGCCTGTGACGCTTAAGAATTTGAAAACAAACAAAAAATCAAAAAACATTACAAATCTCAAGAGTCTGTCTTATCATATATAAAATCTTATATAGGGCTTGTGCCTATAGCTCAGTGGCACAGCACCTGCCTGGCAAATGCAAAGTTATGAATACAATTCATATATATATATATATATATATATATATATATATATATATAAAACAAAGGCAAATTTCAATTTTCTCTTTTTAAAATTTTAGTAAGATTTTAGTTTATAAGTTTAATACCAACTCAAAATTAAAAGGAAAATACCAAACCAAAATGGTTTTATGAGCATTCTACCAAACATCTTTCTAAAATCATACAGTATATTCCAGAATATTGTAAAAGAAGGAACGCTGACTTACTCTATGATCAAGCAGACCCATAATGCCAAAAACAAATCAGGATGGCATGAGAAAGAAAATTAAAGACCATTTTTACTCATGAACACAGATGCAAAAATCCTAAACAAAGTATTGGCAAACAAATCAAGTACTATATAAACCAAAAAGACAATGGCCAAATTGTGTTTATACCAGAAATGCAGAGTTGCTGTATGTATGAGGAACATACATAAATGTCATTTACCACATTATCAGAGTCTTAGAGAATAAACCATAATCATCAAAAGGCATCAGAAAAAACTCAACATTCTGTCATGATTTTAAAAAAACATTACAGAAGAATAGGATGGTATTTGTTTAACCTGATAAAACATGTAGCAAACTAGAGAATTTTACTTTTGGTTTTTTGAGACAAGGTCTTGCTATGTAGCCCAGGCTTGTCTGGAACTCCTGGTGATACTCTAGTCTCAGCCTACCCAGTGCTAGAATTACAAGAATGAGCCACCATGCCCAGCTCTATTATTTTTAATAATAGTGAAATGTTAGTGATATTTTGTCTAAAATATACAACAGGTCAGAGATACCAATGATCACCTTTTTTAATTAATTAATTTTTTTGATTCATGGTCTTGCTGTGTAGTGTAGGCTGGTCTTGAATTCACTATGTAGTCAAGGCTGGCCTCAACCTCACAGCAATCCTCCATCCTCAGCCTCCCAAGTGCTGGGATTACAAGCGTATGCCACCACACTTGGCTTTTTTTTAGACAACACTTTGTCCTGGCCATCTCAATAATACAAGAAAAAGTAAATGAAAGTCATACAAATTGTAAAAGGAAAAACTTTCATTACCTATAGGTGATACAATTGGCAATACAGAAAATACAAAATAATAATCAGATAAAAAATAAATCAAGAGTTTTTTGAGAAATGGCTGATTCAAGGACGGGGCAGAAAAATATAAGATGAATTTGGAGCATCTTTTAGTGCTAGAAAGTAAGGAAGTGATCAAATGACAAAGGACAAAAGATATTCAATAATTTATTTAAAATAGAGGTATGTTCATAGCTAAGGCTTAACACTGTCAACAAATTCCTTTGAATTGATTCACTGTAGTTCTAAAATTTTTATAGAACATGACAAGCTGATTCCCAAATGTGTTTGAAATAAGAAAGGACCAAGACTACATAATATGCCTGAAGAAAAATAGGATAGAGAGATTTTGCTCTATGAAATATTAAGATTGATTAGGAAGCTAAAGTAATTAGGTTGTGTGGTACTGGTTCAGGGACAAAAAGTTGGTCAGTACCAAAAGGTGATCAGAAACTGACTGGCACGGATAAGTACACTTTTGATCATGAGGTTAGCCATGTAGACAATGATGAAACCAGCTCCCTACCTTATACTACACAAAAATCAATTCCAGTTAGACTAAAGACTTAAACATGGAAGGTAAACTTTCATTAGAAAAAATAATGAATACATACATGACCATAGTTCAAAGAAGATAAGACAAAATGTTGGCTATAAAAATAAGAATTTTTAGCTGGGCATGATGGCACATGCTTGTAGTCCTAGCACTTGGGAGGCTGAGGCAGGAGTACTGCCACAAGATCGAGGTAACCAGCCTACATAAGTGAGTTCAAAACCAACCTAAACTACATAGTGAGATCCTATCTAAAAAAAGAATTTCTCCTATGCAAAGACATAATAAAGAAAAACAAACTGCAGACTGAGAAAATATTTGATGCATTTCGCTGATAAATGAGTATCCAAAAAATAAAGAACTTCTACAAGCTGGGCATGAAAGCACAGGCGGTAACACTAAGAAATCAGGGAGGATGAAGCAGGAGGATCACAAATTCAAGCCCAGGCTGGAAAATGTAGTGACTTGGTGAGACCCTATCTCAAAATAAAAACATTAGATAAGATAAAAATACAGTGAATTTTTAAAAAATGATTACTGTAAAGGACACACTGTTATTAGTCTCCCTCAAAATATTCCCACTTGCTTTGCACACAGTAATTGTATTGTGGTTGCCACATTCTGAAGCAGTTCTGGAAGTCCTCTTTTGTGAGTGTCTTTAATTGCGCTGTTGTGGCCGCCTCAATGTACTGAATCTATTCAAGACATCTAGTTTTCATGATCACTTTAACTGTGGGGCAAACCCGGAAGTCTCAGAGCACCAGATCCAGTGAATAAGGCGGACGAAGCCATATCGCCTTTCCACTGGATGACATTCAGCAGCAGCGCGCACCATATTTTTTATCATACCTCATAAAGAAACTCACAAAAGGGGACTACTAGAACTACTTAAGAAACTACCAAGAGTGAAAGAAGTATGTTTGAAGTGAGGGAGAGTATTTGAGCAGGATTAAAAGCAATGTGTCTTTTTTGCCAGTCTGGCTTTTTTTTTTATCATGGAAAGGATTAGTTCATGTACATATCATATCTTGATCCCTTTTATTTCCCCTTTCCTTCCTCTCATTCTTATCTCCTTCTATCCCCAGAGCCCCTTCAAATCTTTTCAAAGAACCAATCCATTGATTTATTGATTCTTTCTATTGCTTTAGTCTCAACTTCATTAACTTCTGCTGTTAAAAACAACTATATCACCATTAACAATAGAAAAGAATTCAGCAATTATAGCATAAGGCCAATTAAGTAGTTAAAAATTAGTAAAGTTTAATAGTAATAATATTAGAGGGGTGAGGGAAGGGGAAAGGAAAGAAAATTTGAAAAAGTAAAAAATAGGGTTATAATTAATATTAGGGAATATCAGGAGAGAAAAGCAAGATAAAATATCCAATTAAAGTATAAAATATGCTGGGTGTATTGGCACACACCTGTAATTCCAGAACTTCGGAGGCTGAGGCAGGAGGATCACTGTTCAAGGTCAGCCTGCATAATGAGACCCTGACTCAAAAAAGAGAAGAAGAAGAAGAAGAAGAAGAAGAAGAAGAAGAAGAAGAAGAAGAAGAAGAAGAAGAAGAAGAAGAAGAAGACGAGGAGGGGGGGAGGGGGAGGGGAGGAGGAAGGGGAAAAACAAACAGAAAAAGGAATACAAAAATCCTCTGAGTGAGTTATTTGTTTCTAGGGTCTGTGGTATTCAAATCCACTAGATACAAGTAGGGAATAGCATCACAACTAGGGCCTATTTTGTTTCCATACGCATTTTTTGCTATGTAAACTCTGAATCCTATGACATCTTTCCCACTGAATGTGATTGCTCAATGGTATGGTGTCTGCCTCAGGGCTGTGTTTGTTCCAGTGGCTCTTAGCATTTGTGCCTTTCTGTATGCAACTATCTCAAGCTAGCTTCATGACCCGTGGGCTTGTAAGGTGCCTCCTTTGCTGCAGAGGACCCTCTGTTTGTACATCCAGGTTGTGGCAATTGTCCAAACCAAAGTGTATCCCTCATCATGTTGGCAGATGGGAAAAGCAAACAAAACAATGATTTTTGTGCTGAATGTAGGCAGCAAGGAGGTCAAGAAGACCACTGGACTTCATCTGAGCACTTTCAGAACCAGCCCCCTCAAAAAAACACAGGATCAGACTTTGTCTCACCATTGAGTGTGGTAACACCATGTCCTTACAGCCTGAACTCCTCACTGCTTAAACTTCTCGGGGAATCTGTAAATAGCCTACCTTTCTTAGTGACTGTCTCTTATGGCTGCTTCCCACCTGACCTGTAATAGGGTAATAATCCCAGAGACTCTGAGGTCAATTTGTTCTGTAATTTCTGATGCCCAGAAAAGCTGAGTATAAATCCCTTCCCAAAATAGCTTGGATAAATCACTCCCCGGTATGGCAGGTGCTGCAATGGATTTCTTCTCCAACTCCAGCCTGCCATGTAAAAGTCACTCTGAGAGTAAACTCCACGTTGTACTTGCAGATTACAATAACCTTGGATTTTCCTTGGGGCTAGCACTATTTGTCCACTGTTTCTCCCTGGGCCACTGACTCTCTGTGCTTACTTTATTTTTGCTGAAACAGAACCTCTTCCCAGGAGCTGGGATTAGCATTCTAGACTGCTTTATTCTTTTCTCTGCATTGTTCCAATGTGTCTTTTACTATAATACATTTTTTTTGTCTTTTTCATTTTTCTCGGTACCAGGGATCGAACTCACGACTGCCTGCTTGCAAGGCAGGTGCTTATGCCGCTGAGCTAAATCCCCAGCCCCCTATAATACATTTTTTTTAAAAAATTAAATATTCACCATATACTTTGATCATCCTTGCTTAAAAAAATGCTAGAGATGTAGCTCAGTGTGAAGGCTCTGGTTTCAACCACCAATATAGGGAAATAAAAGAAGCTACTATAAATCACTAAAAAATTTTAAATGTACAAGAGATATTACAGATCTTTTGGCACAGATGAAACATGTGGCCAATAACGAAGAAAAGATGCTCAA